AAGACATTGTTGCTGCACACACTCAACACATTCACCTCTCACACACAGACACACATGAACAGACCAAACACAGAGCTAACTATGCTAACGCTGCTGGCGCCTTGTTGACTTCCGCTGGTGTCACACTGTAAAGCTCCGACAGAAACTGCCTATTTCCGCTTTCTGAACCAACTGTTGAAATGAAAACAGAATAGTAATTGATGCGAGTTGGCACTAAACACATTTACTTGATTTAAAAAAAAATCCTGTTCTATCTGATTTCACATTTTAACAACTTAGTTTATCTGCAGCTTGTTGATAAAAACTTGATACTAATTCTACAGTAGGAACATAGAGAGGACACAGTCATTTTCCAACAACTGGGTTTTTATTTTTTTCTGATAAACATATTCAAAGAAACATTTAACTATTCTAAAAAAAACACTCATGTATATAGGAAAATATAACACTTTCATCTGGTCTTTTTTCACCTAAATGCATCATTTATGTTGCATTTTATGGAAATAATAATAATAAATAATAAAGAGCTATGTGTTATCATTGTATGTTCCCATACAAAGATGAAATTGGCTCTGTGCATTTAACCCATAGCACCTGGGATGCACCCATGTGGAGAAGGGCAGCTATGTATGCACCTGGGGAGCAATTCGGGATTGGGTGTCCTGCTCAGATACGAAATGTGCAATGACCTGGGGATCGAACCCCAGGACCTTCGAGTTCCGAGTCGGCTGCCCGGACCCTACACCATCTCTGCCTCCGATGCAACATAAATGTTGCAATAAATGCAACATAATGTTAGCTCTGCATTTTTTTCCTTCATCTTTTGAAGGACAAAATGTCTCAGCAAAAAAGAAACAATCCAGATGACCTGATTGAACATTGTTGCAACATTTATGAGTTTTATTACAATTGTTGCAATAATTAACATCTTCCATCTGTGAAAATTCTCCCAACTTAACCAGTCTAACAGCAACTGAATTTCAAAAGCCAAATCTAAAATTTCTTCCTCAGTTTCAATTAAAGACTTGTTAGTGGTCAAGGCAAGGACAGAAGTGAAATTAAGAATACTTTATACTTCACAAGCCTCTTTATTAAAGTATGTTTGGAATGGGGCAGCATGGTGGCGCAACTGATAGAGCTGCTGCCTCTCAGCGAGAAGGTTGCCGGTTGAGTGGAGTTTGCATGTTCTCTCTGTGCATGCGTGGGATTTCTCCAGGTACTCCGGTTTTCTCTCACAGACCAAAATCATGCATGTTAGGCTGATCGGCAAATCTAAATTGTCCCTAGGTGTGAGTGAAAGAGTGAATGGTTGTCTTGCTAGTCTCTCTGTGTCCCTGTGATGGACTTGTGACTCGTCTAGGGTGTACCTCGTCCTTCGCAGTGATTGCTGGACATGGGCTCCCGTGACCCAAAATGGAAGAAGCGGGTAAAAGATAATGGATGGATGTTTGGAATGTACAAAATAATTTACAGGCAGAAAACCATTGGAATATAAATCTACATTTAATTAAATGTGCAGTTTACAACAGCCATTTATTTGTTACAGAAATCGAAGAAAGTTAATTGTTTTTTTTTTTTGTTTTGTTTTTTTTCATTCCAACCTTTATTTATACAGATTAATCACACTGAGCCTCAGGGACTCATTTAAGGAGAGACCTGACTGTAACAACGAGTGATGACAACAGTGGACAACAAAGACAACAATAAACAATCATAAATGATGCATACAAATTGAGAATATCAAGTGAAATAAAATGGTGTTTAAAAAATGAAACAAAAAACACTAGGTTGTAAGGCAATGTAGAAAAATAATCATTACTTATAAAATCAGTTTAATATTTTGTGGAACACTCCCAAGCAGACAAAGTGATCTCAGTTTGGAGAAACAAGAAATTTCCTGACAGACAAAGAAACATGTTCAGACCAAGAACATCTGAAAAACAAATGTTTTTAAAGTCTAAAACAACTCAAACATTCTGAAGCAAAACAGTCGTGGTTCAAGAAAAACTTATAACGTGGACTTTAATATGGAGTATACCTCAGAACTTCAGCAACAGGTATTTTTTAAAACATTTTCTAAACGTCATAAACCAAAAATTAAGATAAAAACTGAATACAATCTAAATATGGGGTGTCTCACCCTGGTCCTTGAGATCCACTATCCTGCATGTTTTACCTATTTACCTGCTCCAACTCACCTGATTCAATGGTTGAATTACCCCGTCATGTTCTGCAGAAACAGCTGATTTAAATCAGGTGTGTTGAAGCAAAGAAAAGTCTGACAAGACAGTGGGCCTCCAGGACCAGGACTAAACATCTCAGATCTTAAATGGCAACAAAAACAATCACAATTCATTGATTGCCAAAACAAATTCTAAACCAATAAAGAATAAACACATTTTCTCACTAAAGTGAATTTTTCTAAATATCTACTGTCTGCACACATTCCTCTGGTGCAGCCTACTTTTTTAAACTCAACTACATTACCCACAATGCCACAGTCTTAAAGGGAATAAAAAAATATTTTAAAATCTGAATAAACCGTGCATGGCCATTTATTTAATTGTAATTTTTAAATGAAATGCAACAATTTTATTCTTGTTTGACCTTTCAGACAAAACTTTTCCCACTGTTTCAACAATGTTTCAGTCAGCTCATCTGGATCAGTGGTCCCCAACCTTTTTTGTGCCACGGATCGGTTTAATGTCGGACAATATTTTCATGGACCGGAGCGGGAAGGCATGTTTGTGGGGGTGGGACTGGGGTTCCTCCCACAGAGAATTATGAATAAAATAGATGTCATTTCCTGCATTCTGGTGTATTTTACAAAAGTTTATTACAGCAGATTAACATGAAACAAAAGATGTAAACTCATTATTGACATGACTGCAAAGTGTACGTAATTCAAAACGGCTGCAGCTCTGCAGGTAAGGGGCATTCACTTCAGGCAAATTGAGGTTGCTGATTGGTCAGTTGCTGCCGTGCCTACTGGATTGATTGGCAGGTGGGTCGAGAATCCGACTACTGCAAAAAAAAATCAAAGATTTTACTGGCCATTTTTAAGACTGCCATCATTTATTCCATATTTATTCTATATTTGTTCAATATTTTGGTGAATCTAAGGTTTGAAAACTGAGTTTCTTTACACAATCCTAATTATGTTTTAGTTTTTTTTCAGGGGTGCCGAGTTAAAATTTAGGGGTGCTTGAACACCCCCCCAAAAAAGACTAAAATCACCACTGAAACCAGTTTATATTTCTAATTTACTTTAAAACGCTTTAAGTGTGATTTATAAGTGTATTAAGTGCAGGATCATTTCTCGTCTACTAGTTGTTTAGTTAGTATATCCCACATTGGGGTCAGCAGCGCCTCGTTATCCTCCTCCCTGCTCCGCAGTGATCACACATCAGATTGTTCAGAAAAGTGCAGGAACTTATGCATAGTGCAAAACTTTAATTGTATTTTTGTGTTTTTTAATAAAATTGCCCATGACTTCGAACTTTTAAGGGCAGATATTTTTTTAAGAGCAGAAGTGGAAATGTGAAGGAACAGCTCTGATGTAATATTAGGAAGCTTTGTTTAAAATTATAGTTTTATTTAGTTATAGTTTTGCAGTCACTCTTTGTCAGGCGGGTTGAAAAACACGCAGTGAGTGTAATCCTTCAAATGCCCAGATACGGCCGCGCGCACACACCTGTCTGCTACAAACCACGCAGCTGAATTACTCACCACCCGCGCGGGCAATGTAGAACCGATCTGCACATGCTCCTAGCAGAAACTAAAACTTACCACTTGTGTATGTTGACCTGCGTCAAGAGTGAGTCATTGACAGATGTGGTGAAGAGAATCTGGCTATTTTTCAAAATAAAACTTTTTTTTTGTGCGGCCCGGTACCAATTGACCCACGGACTGGTGGTTGAGGACCCCTCATCTGGATTATTTTGTTTTTTGCTGAGACATTTTGTCCTTCATCCAAAGGACTTAATCTGTCCAAGGAACCACAAACAAACTGAGTCCCACAAGCAGCACACTCCCATAGTGGAAAAAAACAATGCGTTGGTGATAAGATGGCTTCTGGGGTCCGCCCTCTCCCCCATCAACTCCTCTGAAGCAGCTATGCCAATGTGGTTCAAATCATCAAAGCATTCAAACCATCTTATCACCAGAAAATTGTTTTTTTTTTCCTCTATGGGAGTGTGCCGCTTGTGGGACTCAGTTTGTTTGTGGCTCCTGGGACCAATGAAGTCCTTTGGATGAAGGATGAAATGTCTCAGAAAAAAAAAACGTCCAGATGATCTGACTGAACATTGTTGGATTTTTACCTGAATTACTAAGCATGAACTTTGACCTTTCCCACTGGTGTTTTATGACTAAAGTTTAATGATGAACATCTGACTCCAACTTGTCAACTATGAGTTTTAGCAAATTCCAAAGTCTAAGAAAGTTACAAGATTCACAAGATTACACCTCCTCACATGTCTGACTAAAAAACATCCATCCATTATCTTTACCCGCTTCTTCCATTTTGGGTCACGGGGGTCGCTGGTGCCCATGTCCAGCAATCACTGTGCGAGGGGCGGGGTACACCCTGGACGGGTCGCAAGTCCAAAAACATTTTTTGAATAAATCTTTTTCCACTGGACTGACAGGAGAACGGTCTTCCACCTGAATTCTAATGTAGTGTTTACTTTTGATTTCACTGTATTTTCCATAAGGCAAAAGTAAAAGGCTTTTAATCTGTGTGAGTTGTCATGTGGTTTTTAAAACTTTTTCTATCACTGTAACTTTTTCCACAGGTCTCACATGAGAAAGGCTTCTCACCTGTGTGAGTTCTCGTGTGTCTGATTAAATCAAATTTCTGATTAAAACTTTTTCCACAGGTCTGACATGAGAAAGGCTTCTCACCTGTGTGAGTTTTCATGTGTCTGATTAAATCAAAGTTTTGATTAAAACCTTTTCCACAGGTCTGACATGAGAAAGGCCTCTCACCTGTGTGAGTTCTCATGTGGTATTTAAAACTTTTTTTTTCGCTGTAACTTTTTCCACAGGTCTCACATGAGAAAGGTTTCTCACCTGTATGAGTTGTCATGTGGTTTTTAAAACTTTGTGCATCACTATAACTTTTTCCACAGGTCTGACACGAGAACGGCTTCTCACCTGAGTGAGTTCTCATGTGTCTGATTAAATAATTTTTTTTATTAAAATTTTTCCCACAAGCTTGACATGAGAAAGGCTTCTCACCTGTGTGAGTTCTCATGTGAGTAATCAAAACACTTTTGTAGTTGAAATTTTTCCCACAGGTCTGACATGAGAAAGGCTTCTCACCTGTGTGAGTTCTCATGTGAACTGTTAAATTATGTTTCACACTGAATTTTTTTCCACATGTCATACACAAAAAAGACGTTTTTTGGTCTATCTTTACATTTGGACACACATTGTCACCAAAACCTCCAGTTTGTAGATTTGTCTTATTTTGTTTCGGCTCTTCATCTCTGCAGGATCCTGGCTCTACATTCCTGCTTCTTTCCTGATCTAGGTTCTCAGCCTCAGGAGAGTTCTGAGAAAAGAGTTGCTCCCTGTTTGGAGTTCCCAGTTCCCAGTGGTTCTTTTCATTATAAGCAGGAGTTACCACAAAGGTTTCAGTCTCCTGCTCCTCTTTCATCTCTAGAGATTCTGGTTCTTCATGTGAAGGTTCTGATTCTTCATGGCCCTCTTTCATCTGTGGAGTTTCTGGTTCCTGGTCCAAGTTGGTGTTACTTTCCTGGCTAGGGGGCTCAGTGAAAATCTCCGCCTCCTTCCAGACGTTATGCTGTGGGGGTTCTGGACAGAAAAAATAAAATAAGATACTGATTGATGTGACTGTGAGAAAGCATACTTTACTTTAATCATTTGATGCAACTAAAAAGGTTTGAAAGTTGTAGCTGGAGCTCATCACAGCTTGGCAGGTACCATAATTGCTGATCTATAGAACGCACCGCAGTGTAAGCAGCGCACACTGAATTTAAATTAAAACACAATTTTGTACATAAACAAGACGCACCTTTGTATATTCCGCAGGTGTCCACATTATGATATCAAAAACTGTGCACAGCTCCGGCAATAAATGTGCAGCTCTTGTTGTAGTACAAGAGTCAACCACCAGATGTCGTCTCATCGACTTTACCAAAAGACCAATTTAAACACACACAGGAAGACTGATCAGATGTCCATGTAAGCAGCTTCTCTCACTCATGGTTTGAGTGAGAGAAGCTGCTACTTGTTAGGGGAATTTAGGTAAAGGTCATGTTTGTTTATTAGTAGCTAGTGTTAAACTAATATGTGTGAGTTGGAGCGTTGCTTGTGTGTCTGCGAGAGCACAAAGCCTGCAGACCTGATAAACTCCAAGGTCTTTAAGCTGGAAAGCAGAGATTGTGCTGACCTCGCCTCTGTCTGATAAGCATTATCAATAGACGCTTCTGTACACTGTCTGTGGGCAGACCTTCTTCGATGTCTTCGATGCACAAGTCTGTTTTCAAATCTTCCCCCTTGCAAGCAAAAGACTGAGTTGAAAGATCTTCTTGTATCCTCAGAGTGGCTTATTTGATTAATGAGATGATGAAAGTGTAATTAATTTATCCAACACTACCGAATAAAAAAATGGGGGGAGTGGTGGCGCATAGGTTAGAGAAGGTGGGTCAGTGATCGGAAGGTCGCCGGTTCACGCCCCGGCACCGACAACATCAAAAATGTGGGTGGGGTAGGTGAAGCACCCACACCTGCCCCCACCCTCACCCTCCCCACCCTGGGCCCATGAGCAAGGCCCCTAACCCCCATCTGCTCCCAAAACAGGTCTCTCTTGAAAATGAGTTATCATGGCTCAATGAGACTACCTGGATAAATAAAGGGTGAATAAAAAAAAAAGAATAACCTTCATCCTACAGAATTAACATAAAATAACTACACTAAGAAGAACAGACTACCAGTTATCAGTAGAAACACCCATAAATTATTGTATTAAAATTTGACACGTCTGTAAATTTTAGCCACAATTCACTGCTGGTCATGTGACCAGCAGTGAACAGCGGAAAATGTACCGGTAAGATGGTAACGGTAAATGAGCATTAAATTATTGCTATTGATTTTTAAGCATAGTTTGGTAACAGCTGCTGTTTTTAAAATGTGCTTTATAAATAAATTTGACGACTTTCTGCTGCGCAACAAACGAGAGGAGGTCAAATGGACTGTACTTATATCTGCATCTTATCAAGACACTCAAAGCTCTTCACAACAATCTGTGCCTCATTTACCCACTCATACAGCTCTATACTAGATCTCTACAAAGCTAACTGAACAAATCATTCTAAAGAGACTAATCAGAGCTTTATCACATTCATACACTGATGGACACACATCGGAGGCATCGAGGGGTTCAGTGCCTTGCCCAGGGACACTTCGACATGTGACTGCTGGTGGATTCAAACCCCCAACTCTTGCATTGGAGGACGACTGCTCTAACCGCTCAGCCACAGCCGCCCAAAGGGGGAACTCCCCCCTCCGTTCTCTCCACTGCGAGCTTGTTACTCAGGAGTGTCAAACTCACTTGCAAACGGGGGCCTAAATTAAAACTTTTTTAAACTAAGGGCCGATTTCAGAAACTACATTAACTCAAATCAAACAAGAGTTTGATTGGTCTCATTTGATCTCTGTTGTGCTTTCGACATCATAATCAAAGATTACTGAAAAGATAGAAGTATTTTACGTTTCACATATCATCTTGAGGGCCAGACGTCAACGAGGGCCACATTTGTGTTGAGTTGATTGTGTCACATGATTAGGAAGGCACATCAGCAGCTTTACGTCCTCAGACGGCTGAGGTGAGCTGGACTCACAAGCTCAGTCCTCACCTCCTTCTTCAGGTGTGCTCAACATCAACGTGTGGCACAGACTCAGAGAGTCAGAGTTTCTTTATCAGTCATTCACACCACATGTGGTGGAACAAGATTGTGTACTCAGGGTCCCAGTTGCATCCCACAATAAAATTTAAAAGAAAAACAGTAATAAGATCTAAGATATGAACTAAGAAAAAACAACTAAAAATACGCTAAGCACTAAGCAGGAGCTGCTCTGCATAGGGTGGTGAAGGCTCCACAGAAGACTCCCACATCACAGACATCTACCATAATTGCTGGTCTGTGCACATTAAATATATTGTTTGAATTCTGTACATACACAACACACGGGTGTTCACATTGTAACATGAGTGGCAGAACAGCTACAGAGAGAAATGTGCAGCTCTAGTTTTATATCAAGAATCAACCACCAGATGTCATCTTGTGTTTTATCTTCAACACACAGATAGAGTGAACCCCACAGGTCTTCATGAGAACTACCTCCCTCACTCATGGTGACTCTACTGAATGAACTAACACATAATGAACATAAACTAAGATAAGAAGAACAGATTAATCACTAGAAAAAACAATGATTAACAGTTAACCAAAATGATTAACAATGAATATAAATTTTACCCCAAATCCGTCCCTGAGGCCATGTGACCAGCAGTCAACCACAATGAACCAATGAGGTAGTCTCATTGAGGCATGAAGACCCACCCCCCAAGAGAGATGTGCATTGATGAGACAACCTGTATAAATAAAGGTTAAAAAAACATCTGACCAATGAAATTACCAAACAGGTCACAGTCAAACCAATGACAGGGAAAGGGGGAGGAGAGAACCGGGGGGGGGGGGGGGGGATTTCTCCCCTCATCCACTCGTGAAATAAGGTCACGAGGGCCCACCCCCCCAGGAGAAACGTGTAATGGGCAGCTTTGTGAGCACTCAGGTTTGAATAAGCTAAATGTTTTTTGTGGGCAGGAAGCTCGTTAGCACATAAAAAAAAAAAAAACGTAAATTAGCCGGAGCATTGTATAAGCCGTAGGGTCCGAAGCCTGTGAAATAGTGGCTTATAGACCGGAAAGTACGGTACACCTCCAGATACAGGAAGCGGGCCACCTGCATCATGAAGGACCACACTCACCCAGCACACACACTTTTGCCCAACTCCCCTTAGGCAGGAGGTTGAGGAGCATTAATTGCAGAACCACTAGACTGAGGAACAGCTTCTACCCTGAAGCTGTTAGACTCATAATCCCTAACAAATCATGCCACTTTAACTGGACATGTCTCACGACCCATGCTGCTGATTTCTTACCCATAAGCTGCTATATTCATATCCTGCTCACAAGACTCATGTTCAGGTTGCTGTATAATACACCTTATTTTTATTAATATTGTTAGTGTATATCTTAGATCCTTGTATGTTTATATATATA